CCATATCTTGGGAAACAAAGCAAGCATCAATAAATTCAAGAGGGTTGAAATAATATCAAGCATCTTTTCTGATCATAATGCTATGAAACTAGAAATCAGCTACAAGAATAAAGCTGGGAAAGGGGCAAAAATGTGGAGACTAAACAACATGCTACTGAACAAACAATGGATTATTGAAGAAATTAAAGAAGAAATCAAATATTATCTGGAGACAAATGAAAATGAAAACACACCATACCAACTCATTTGGGACACAGCAAAAGCAGTCCTAAGAGGCAAATTCATTGCAATACAGGCTCACCTCAATAAACAAGAAAAATCTCAGATAAGCAACCTCAAACGACACCTAACAGAATTAGAAAAAGAAGAACAAACAAAGCCCAAAGTCAGTAGAAGGAGGGAAATAATAAAAATCAGAGCAGAAACAAACGATATTGAAACAAAAAAGACTGTAGAAAGGATCAATGACACAAAGAGTTGGTTCTTTGAAAAAATTAACAAAATTGACAAACCCTTAGCCAGACTCACTAAGAAAAAAAGAGAGAAGAGTTAAATAAAGAAAATTAGAAATGAGTGAGAGAGGAGAAATCACAACTGATACCACAGAAATACAAAGGAGCATAAGAGAATACTATGAAAAATTATATGCCAACAAATTGGACAAACTAGAAGAAATTGCAAATTCCTAGACTCTTACAACCTCCCAAAACTGAAGCAGGAAGAAATAGAGAATCTGAATAGACCAATCACAAGTAAAGAAATCGAAACAGTAATCAAAAACCTCCCCAAAAATAAAAGTCCAGGACCAGACGGCTTCTCTGGAGAATTCTATCAAACATTCAAAGAAGATTTAATACCTATCCTTCTCAAACTATTCCAGAAAATTGAGGAAGATGGAGCACTCCCTAACACATTCTATGAAGCCAACATCACCCTGATCCCAAAACCTGACAAGGACAACACAAAGAAGGAAAACTACAGGCCAATATCACTGATGAACATAGATGCAAAAATCCTCAACAAAATTTTGGCAAACCGAATACAGCAATACATTAAAAACATTATACACCAGGATCAAGTGGGATTTATACCAGGGACATAGGGATGGTTCAACATCCGTAAGTCAATCAACGTGATACACTACATTAACAAAATGAGAAACAAAAACCACATGATCATCTCAATAGATGCAGAGAAAGCATTCGACAAGATCCAACATCCATTTATGATAAAAACCCTCAATAAAATGGGTATAGAAGGAAAGTACCTCAACATAATAAAGGCCATATATGACAAACCCACAGCCAACATCATACTCAATGGACAAAAAATGAAAGCCATCCTTCTGAGAACAGAAACAAGACAAGGGTGCCCACTTTCACCACTCTTATTCAAATAGTACTGGAGGTGTTGGCCAGAGCAATTAGGCAGGAAAAAGAAATAAAAGGAATCCAAATAGGCAATGAAGAAGTGAAACTCTTGCTGTTTGCAGATGACATGATCTTATATATAGAAAACCCCAAAGAATCCATAGGAAAACTATTAGAAATAATCAACAGCTACAGCAAAGTTGCAGGGTATAAAATCAACATACATAAATCAGTAGCATTTCTACACACTAACAATGAACTAACGAAAAAGAACTCAAGAACTCAATCTCATTCACAATCGCAACAAAAAGAATAAAATACCTTGGCATAAATTTAACGAAGGAAGTGAAAGACCTATACAATGAAAACTACAAGACTTTCCTGAAAGAAATTGATGTCGACATAAAGAGATGGAAAGACATTCACGCACATGGATTGGAAGAATAAACATAGTTAAAATGTCCATTCTACCTAAAGCAATCTACAGATTTAACGCTATCCCAATCAGAATTCCAATGACATTCTTTACAGAAATTGAACAAAGAATCCTAAAATTCATATGGGGCAACAAAAGTCCCCGAATTGCTAAAGCAATCCTGAGAAAGAAGAATAAAGCTGGAGGCATCACAATCCCTGACTTCAAAGCATACTACGAAGCTATAGTAATCAAAACAGCATGGTACTGGTACAAAAACAGGTGCACAGATCAATGGAACAGAATTGAAAGCCCAGAAATAAAACCACACATCTATGGACAGCTAATCTTCACAAAGGAGCGGAGAGCCTACAATGGAGAAAAGAAAGTCTCTTCAACAAGTGGTGCTGGGAAAACTGGAAAGCCACATGTAAAAGAGTGAAAATTGATCATTCTTTTTCACCATTCACCAAAATAAACTCAAAATGGACCAAAGACCTAAAGATTAGACCTGAAACAATAAGTCTTCTAGAAGAGAATATAGGCAGTCTACTCTTTGACATCAGTTTCGAAAGAATCTTCTCAGACACCATAACTCCTCAGACGAGGGAAACAATAGAAAGAATAAACAAATGGGACTTCATCAGACTAAAGAGCTTCTTCAAGGCACGGGAAAACAGGATTGAAACAAAAAAACAACCCACTAGTTGGGAAAAATATTTATAAGTCATTTATCTGACAAAGTGTTAATCTCCATAATATATAAAGAACTCACACAGCTCAACAACAAAAAATCAAACAACCCAATCAAAAAATGGGCAGGGGGACATGAACAGACATTTCTCCAAAGAAGATATACGGATGGCCACTAGACACATGAAAAGATGCTCATAATCACTAATCATCAGGGAAATGCAATCAAAAACTACACTAAGATCTCATCTTACACCTGTTCGAATGGCAAAAATATCTCAAAACAAAAAGTGACAGATGTTGGAGAGGTTGTGGAGAAAAAGAAACCCTCATACACTGTTGGTGGGAATGCAAACTGGTGCAGCCACTATGGAAAACAGTATGGAGATTTCTCAAAAAGTTAAAAATAGAAATACCCTATGACCCAGCCATCCCACTACTGGGTATATACCCAAAGAACTTGAAATCAGTAATTCCAAAAGTCCTATGCACCCCTATGTTTATGGCAGCATTATATACAATAGCCAAGACGTGGAAGCAACCTAAGTGCCCATCAACTGATGATTGCATAAAGAAGATATGGTATATATATATATACACACACTCACAATGGAATACTACTCAGCCATAAAAAGGATAAAATCATCCCATTCACAACAACATGGATGGACCTTGAGGGTATTATGTTAAGTGAAATAAGCCAGGTAGAGAAAGACAACTCTGTATGACTCCACTCATGGGTGGAAGTTAAACATAGAGACAAAGTGAACTGATTGGTGGTTACCAGGGGAAAGAGGGGAGTGGGGGGAGGGCACAAAGGGTGAAGTGGTGTACCTACAACATGACTAACAATAACGTACAACTGAAATTTCACAAGGTTGTAAACTACCATAATCTTAATAAAAAGTTAAAAAAAAATTCACCTGCCTCAGGGCCAGACCAGTGGCGCAGAGGTTAAGTTCACATGTTCTGCCCTGGTGGCCTGGGGTTCGCTGGTTCATCTCCCGGGTGCGGACCTATGAACTGCTTGTCAAGCCATGCTGTGGCAGACATCCCACATATAAAGTAGAGGAAGACGGGAACGGATGTTAGCTCAAGGCCAGTCTTCCTCAGCAAAAAGAGGAGGATTGGCAGCAGATGTTAGCTCACGGCTAATCTTCCTCAAAAAAATAAAATAAAATGAAATTAAAAAAAAAATTCACCTGTCTCTAGCTCCTGGTTCAGGCTTCTCTTCTGAGTTCTAAACCATATGCCCAACTGCCCCTGGACACCTCCACTTAAATGTCCCTTAGGTTCCTCTGACTCAGCCTCGTCCTAACAGAATTTACATCTTTTCAGCCCAACTTCTTCCCCTGGATTCTTTGTGAATGTTGTCATCATGCAGGATCGCAGCCTCTTTTCCCCATTTCTAGTCAGTCATCAACTCTAGCAAGATGGAGGGACTTTTGCTCACGAGAATCTCAGGGAAGCTGAGGGATGTGGACTGGATTGGTAGAGCTGCTCTCCTGAAGACATGCTGTGGATTGGGGGGCTATATACTGTGGGGAGGACCACGTGGTAGGAATGGAACGCGGGGAGCTGGCCCAGTGAGGGAAGGGTAGCTATGGGTGGTGCTGCCAATCTTAGGTAAACTTAACTGAGCATCGCCAAGTGCTGAGGTATTTGGAGTTCTTGAAGAAAAAGAACAGAGCTTGTCCACGCCTGAACAGAACTGAAAAGCGATAGCTCGGGAACAGGGACAGAGAGAAGCCCCATACAGCAAGATTTGGAAGTGGGAGGGACGTGGATCTCTTACCGGTAAGGAGCTCCGGAGGGAGTGTGGGTTATACATGTCCCAGTCACAGGTTCTACCACTGGAATGTCTCCAACCCGACCCTCTTTTCCTCAGTAGACTCCAGGCTACCGCCCACCCTCAAGTATTGTCCAAAAAGCAAATCTTATTAAGCCACTGGTCCTTTTAACTGTTGGATATCAAGTTAAACATTCTTTAGCTCCTCACATAAGGTCCTTCAGGATATGGGCCCTGTTTACTATATGGCTCCATCTCTTGCTACTGCCCTCACATTCTTTTTGCTTCAGCCACATGGAAATTCGTGCAGCCCTTTAAAAGCATCAGGCCTTCAGATGGGGTTCACGCTCCGGTGCTTGGAATATCCGTTGGCCCTCTCTCCTCCCCAGGCCCATTCATTCTTCCATTTCTACCTTCCTTTCAATACTCAGCTCAAGCACTATTTCCCAGAACGCTTTTACAGTCCCAATCTGATTTTCTCTGGGCTCTCGTGGCGTCCTACACACAACATGAAGATACCCTTTACCACATCTCACTGTAATCGGGTGGCTTGCCCCTCTTCCCAAGGAGGCGGGGTACTTTATGAAGGCAGATCTCAGTCTATCTAGCTTTCTATCTTCAATGTTTAGCTTATGAACAGCAGTTGACATTTCTAAATGAATAAATAAAAAGTTATCAACCATGAAAGTTCTACAGTTTAATAAGTAGGCTATTTAACCAAGAAACCTTTTACCATTCAAACAGCAGGCCACGCAGCTGTGCCATTTCACACGCTGACCGTGCATCTCGTTCCCGAACGTGAGCGCAATATTGCCGGCCCATTTGCCAGTGGGAAAATCTGGACATGTAAGAGAGCATCTCCAGGAGGTATCATCAGCCCACAGCGGATCTCAAGCAGCCTGTCGTCTGCAAAACCCACCAGATCAGTGTCTTTCTCCCGGCCTTGAGCTACACGTTACCTATAGCCACTAAAAGAGGTGGGCAGATAGACATATTTAAGGTAATCTCTCTTTGGTATGTTGGTCTATGTGGGTGTGTTTCTGTGTGCGCGCGCGTGGCAGAGGGAGGAAGGAGGGCATCCCTTCTTCAGAGACGCCTTTCCTGACCCCCTTGACCAGGTGAGGTTCGCCTCCGCCCCCCACTCGGAGCTCCTTATTGTCCCCATCTGCACCCATCACAGCTCTCCTTGCATTCGTGTGTTCAATGCCTGTCTCCACTGCACGAGGTAAGGAGCCTAACAGGTTCCTGTCCACTCCTGAAATCCCCCTGCGCACCAGGACGCCTGAAGCAACACAAGGATCCCGTAGACATTTACTCGCCAACTGTTTCCGGCTGGATTTGGGGGACCCCGGCCGACTCCAGCGCCCCGCCCACCAACGGCCGGCGGGCGAGGCGGGGCGGGGCGCGGCGCGCAGCGCGGGGGGCGCGCTCTCGCGGGGACAGTCCTGCGGCTCCCGTGGGCGCGGCCCGGGCTGGGGAGTCGCGGAGGGGGCGGGCGCGACACGAGGCCGCGGCCTGGCCAATGGGCGCCGGCCGGGCGGGGCTCGCTGCCGGCCGCCCGGGCGCGCGCGGGGCCGGGCGTGCCCCCGGGTGACGCGCCGGGCCGGGCGGGCCAATGGGCGCGGCGTGGCGGGCGAGCGGGCGGGCCTCGCGGCCGGGGCTGCAGGAGGCGAACCGGAGGCCGGCCGGGCGGGCTGACGTTCGTCCGCAGCGCGGGAGGCGCGTGGCGGGGATGGCGCTGGCGCGGGCCTGGAAGCAGATGTCCTGGTTCTACTACCAGTACCTGCTGGTCACGGCGCTCTACATGCTGGAGCCCTGGGAGCGGACCGTGTTCAGTATCCTGCCGGGGCCGCGGCGCGGGGCCCAGGGTGGGGCGCGGGCGCCGGGGCGGCATCCTCCCGGGCGCAGGGCCTGGGGCCGGGGCGGGGCGGAGAGGCGGCGCGGACTGGCCTCTTCGCGGTGGGCTCGCGGGGCGGGGGTCTCTGGACCCTTGGGCGGCGCCCCGGCGGGGGCGGGGGCGGAACTCCTGAGAGCCGAGGTCGCCTGTGAGTCAATGGACCTAAGGTAGAATGGTCTTTATTCCTGGAGGAAGTCCCCTAGGGCGATGTCTAACTCGGTGTGTCCTCCTCTGCACTTCGGCCGCGCCTACCTTGGATCCAGCGCCCCGTTCTGTGAGAAGTAGGGAGCGTGCAAGTGGAGCAGGTCGCTCCCGGCTTGGCCGCCTTTGACCTTTCACTGTCCCTGCTTTAGCTGGCTTTGGTCCTAAGTAAGGTGCATGCTAACCAGTTAACCAGTTTTTAGATCAGTTTGTGAATTTGTGTTGATGACACCCCAATAGAGTACCTTTTTGGTCTTCAAGATGGGTAGTTGTAAAAGTGTGTTTTAGGGGTTGGCCCCGTGGCCGAGTGGTTAAGTTCGGGTGCTCCGCTTAGGCCGCCCAGGGTTCCTGGGCACGGACATGGCACTGCTGATCGGGCCATGTTGAGGCGGAGTCCCACATGCCACAACTAGAAGGACCCGCAACTAAAATATGCAACTATGTCCTGGGGGGATTTGGGGAGAAAAAGCAGAACACGAAAAAAGAAGATTGGCAACAGTTGTTAGCTCAGGTGCCAATCTTTAGGGAAATAAAAGGTGTGTTTTATTCAACAATTTGCTGTTTGCACAGTACGTAGAAGTCGAGCCCCAAGAGGAATTGTGGTTAGTTGTAGATAGTATTTGAAACTGCGTTTTCGTAGATAGCTAATAAATACTTGTTAATGACTATTAAGTGTTTGCTGCAACCAAGCAACTGTGCTAAGCGCTTTGCCTGTGTCTTAACACGTTTAACTTTCATAACAACCTCAATTAACCACTCTCAGTTGTGAAGATAGCTCCCTGAATGGAGCCTGTGATGTTCCTGTCTCCGTTTGTCTATGTTGACATCCCTTGATATTATTCTTGCAGAATAAATACTAATAATGAGATGTAACTTTAAAAAAAAAAAACATGGGGGGGCAATATGAAACAAATATTTAACATAACATGCTTACTTCATCCACGGGTTTCTCCTTTTCAGTGTGGTTTGGTTTGGAGTAACTTCAGAACAACTTTTGCAAATGAATTGTTGTGTAGTGACTGGTAATTTCATTCCAAGTCTTTACTAAGTGTGTTTATTTGTACTGAACTAGCATAGACTTGTCCTCAAAGCTGAGTCTTTTGTTTCGATGCTTTTTTTTTTTTTTCACTGAGGAAGATTAGCTCTGAGCTAACATCTGTGCCAATCTCCCTCCACTTTATACGTGTGTTGCAGTCACAGCGTGGCTGAGGAGTGGTGTAGGTCCCTCAGGAGATCTGAACCCACCAACCAGGCCACCAAAGCCTGCGCTAAACCTAACCAGTCTGCCACACGCTGGCCCCTCAACACTTTTGAATCTTAGTTGCTTACAAGGAAATTTACTTATTTTTATTATTGTTGGCATTTCTTTCCAAACCTGGAACTTAAGAACTGGCATGCATGTTTTGGATTTAAAGTCTGAATACAAAGTACGCTTTGATTTCCTGCACCATTTATTTGTAGCTACAGTCTAGTTTCACTCTGAGTTCTGTAGGTCAGAGCTCATGAGGTCATCCTTGCACAATGGATACAGTCATGTATCGCTTAACTGCGGGGATTCTTTTTGAGAAATTTGTCATTAGGTGATTTCAGAGTGGTGTTCTTTTTTTATTCAACCAATATTTGAATCTGTTTCCATGTGCAGACATGCTTTCTATCTTACAAAAAAATGCTGACACTTGCAGTAAGACAGAAGATAACAAAATGAATCGTGTAAGTGTTAAGTAGTATTACAATTAGAAGGAGACCAGCCGTGGACTGAAAACTATTGGCCTCCACCTCTAGAAGGGAAGTTTTTAACGTGTTTCAAAAGCCCTCTTTCTCTCGGCGGCCCTGTGAGGGGTGGCGGAAGGTAGGGGGAAACCAGGTTTTGTAACCAGTGAGAGCTCCCTGTACTGCCTCAGTGGATAACATTGTAACCACGCTGTTGAGGGGAGGTGGAAAGATTTCAAGTATTTTGTTTAAAAGAATTTGAAGCATAAGCAAAGTTATTTTAGCCTTGTTTTTTAAATTAAAAAAAATAAAGTTTTATTCTGTAATCACTGGGTTATATTTGCCATCTCTCTATGGCTTTTTATGTTTCCATGGCATTTTATACTTCTATTTATTTTAAGCAAAATGTGGGCAGTTTTTTGATTTATGTTAGGAATTAGATTTCCCGTGAAAGACAGTCCATGTTTCTTCAAGGAAAGAGTTTTTAAAACCACTGTGCTTGGCACGCAAATAATGCTTGAGAAACATTTGTTGATATATTGATTTCTTATTTCAAAGCAATTGCAGAAATATTTGGGAATGGTAAAAGGGACCTGATTTTAAGCCACTTTTATTTATTTTTTATTTTATTTTATTTTTTAAAAGATTTTATTTTTGTTCCAAAGCCCCCCCGGTACATAGTTGTGTATTTTTAGTTGTGGGTCCTTCTAGTTGTGGCATGCGGGATGCCGCCTCAGCGTGGCCTGATGAGTGGTGCCATGTCCGCACCCAGGATTCGAACCGGTGAAACCCTGGGCCACCACAGTGGAGCGTGCGAACTTAACCACTCAGCCACGGGGCTGGCCCCTAAACCACTTTTAAAGTAGTGTTGGAGCTTGGCTATTTCTGATGAACAGAATTCAGTTCTTGGAGAGAAATCAAATTTAAAGAAGTAGAACATGCTATAGATTGAACAACTTTATTTTGGAGATGTTAACAAAATTTGGATTGCTCTGTCTACGCATTTGTAAAATATACATGTTTGTGGAATTCTCTATTCCTCAAGTATTATGTACTTTAGAACTGCCAAATGCTATATTCTAGATGGTGGAGCTATAACTGGATAAAACATAAAGTATTTATTGTAATTCCACTAGATAAATAAGTAAAAAATATAGAATATTAGATCATTATAGCTGTTATGGAGAAAAATAAAACAGGAAAGTTGATAGGAAGTAAGGCAAAGGGCATGTTCATCAGTTTTAGCTAGAGTGGTCAGGAAGGGGACATTTAGCAAGATTTAAACAGGAAGAGAATTCCACGGGAATAAGTGTTCCGGGCAGAAGGAATGGTAAGTACGAAAGCCCCAAAGCATCAGCATGTCTGGCATATTTCAAGGATAGCCCAGGGCCTAGTGTGGCTGCGCACCAGCGAGACGGGGGTGTGAATAGTAGGCAAGGAGGGCAGATCCTGTAGGGCCTTCTAGACCTTGAAGCAAGAATTCAGGGGATGAAGGGAGGTGCTCATACCTCTTGAGTAGAATCACTCCAATCCACTAAAAATTTTCTCACTGACATTTTACGTATTTATTTATTTTTAAGATTTTATTTTTCCTTCTTCTCCCCAAAGCCCCCCAGTACATAGTTGTATATTTTAGGTGTGGGTCCTTCTAGTTGTGGCATGTGGGACGCCACCTCAGTGTGGCCTGATGAGCGGTGCCGTGTCTGTGCCCAGGATCTGAACCGGCGAAACCCTGGGCCGCCGAAGCAGAGCACGTGCACGTAACCGCTCAGCCACGGGGCTCGCCCCCCACTGACATTTTAATATTTAATAAAGTAGGAAAAGAAAGTAAGAATAAGAATATATGTTCTTTTCCCCATGAGACTCAAGCTCTTTTCATTTTGAATGGAAAATAATACAACCTAGGAACAGTTTTTTTTTCTCATTTTTAATGTACTGAATTCTGTACTAAACTTCCAAGAGGACAGACTTCATTTCTTCCTTCGAGGAAATTAGAGCCATGTTTTAGGAAAAATGAGAGCGTATGCTTGTTCTCAGATGGATCCTTCCCGTGTCATTTCAGCTGAGGGAGCTGGGCAGCAAGTGCTTTGGGGCGCAGGGTGGGAAGATCACAGTGGACTGGGCGCTCAGAGACTTTTAGGGAAGTATTGAGTGGGTTTTTTCCCCTAGATGAGAACAGGGTGTGGCCTGGTGTGCTGGGGTGGCGAGTGCAGCAGGCCGACTGGCTGGAACAGGACTTCCTTAAGGCAGAAGAGGCGGGAAGTAATGTTGAGAAAGCAGGTTGGGGCCACGTACTGATTCAGCAGATACTTCGGTGTGCGTACCTCAGGCCAGATGCTGGCCTAGGAGCTTGTGATACATCAGTGAGCACATGAGACAAATATCCTTGTCCTTGTAGGACTTTTATAATAAGTGAGTTATATAGTATGTTAGCTGGGAGGCATTATGGAGAGCAGGAAAATAGGTCAGGATCAGGGAGATAAGAAATGTGTGGATGGGATGGAGCTGCTGTTTTCAAAGAGGATGTCAGGAGAGGCTTCATTGAGAAGGGATATTTGAGTAAAAACATAAAGGAGATGAGGAAGTTAGGAGGCTAGAAATCTGAGGGTAGAGCATAGCTGGCAGAGGGAA